TGTTGAAAGACACTAACTTACTGAAAACAACGGTAGAATGTCGCGCAATATTGTGGATTCATTTAAGTTGGACATTAAAACCGTTGAATACCCTCTCAGTCTTCTATTTTAGTCAATACAAGTTCATAATTTTATCGAGTACTTATCTGTGAATATTCTATATTGAAATGGTTTTCCTAATAAAGTCATCCATACATATTTATTGTACGAAATATATGTCCAAATTTCTTCTAAATTAATTGGCAATAAATCTCTAGAACACGGAACTTGTTTCCTTTGAATAATTTTTCTTGTTAGCGTTTTTTTAACTAGTTAGTCTTCTACAGGATGGGGTCGCTGACCCCATACCCAACCCTTCTCCTTTATCCGGGCCTGAGACCGGCAGTAACCTCAGAGAGGTTTCAGGTGGAGTTAACGAACTTATTTACCAGATTAAAAGTTACACTTACAATACAATTATTCATTTTATTAAACTTAAACTATTCAAAGAAAGTTTTAATTAGCTTTCTTTATGTTGAATCTAAGTTACGTGTTTGATTACGTCATATTGAAATCATTTACCTGATTTTATTAAAAACTTTCACTATATATTATATAACAAATCACTATCGTAACTAAATATATTATAGTATTTCTGAAGAAATGTAAATTAATAAAAGTAATCAGACAAAGAGAATATAACACCTTATAATATGTAAATGAATGAATGGTCTCATGGAAGATTTCCTTTTCTTTTACAAATATTAATAATCAGAAGGGGTGTTGTGGAGTTTTTAGAAATTTCCCTAGTTGAAATCATGAGTCAATTAAAGCTAGACCATCATGGAAAACCTGGAAGCACTGGACGGCCGTTTTGTTCTAGTATGGGACTCCTCAGCAGTACGCATCCACGATCCCGCACCCCTTAGCGAGATCCGAACCCAGAACCTGTCAGTTTCCTAACAGGTGCTTAACCAACTAGATCAATGAGCCAGCATTCAACAGTGGATACGCACTGCTGAAGAGTCTCACAATAAGACAAAATGGCCATCCATTGCTTCCAGGTTTTCCATGGTGGTTTAGCTTCAATTGACTCATGATTTCAACCAGTGAAATATTAATAAGTTATTCACAAAAATTGATAAATATTTGAAATGAAATTTGTCTATAAATGAAAACTAAACAAATTTGATTAGGAAAGACAAAATGAACCGAAAGTTAATGCCATACCTTGTTGTAATAACAATAATAATAATAATCATTATTATTATCATTATTATTATTATTATTATTACTATTATTATTATTACCCTGATATGACCTATAAAATAACAAAAAAATTGTAGGTACTTCTATTTCCTTTGATCATTGAGTCTAGTATACAATTAGTCATAACCGACTAATGTCATTTGCTTTATAGTCCGACAAAAAGAAAAAATATGTAGTTTATAAATAATGACTAGACTATTTAAATAACCAAAAAAAAAATTTTTTTTTCTAGTAGTCAAGTACATTCTATTGCTTCGGGGTTTTTTTTTGTTTTGTTCCTTTTTTACATACTGACATTTTAGTTACCAGGATTTTCTTTCAATTATTTGTTATCTATCGTTGTTTATTATAATTGATAATCATTTTGTGTTGTTGCTGAGGAGGAAGAAGAAGAAATGAGTTTCCATGATTTGCATTGTGTATCCCTTTCTTGTTTATATCTAAGTGAATGTATCCAATTATTTTGTGAATTGTGTAATACCATTTAAACAATTCATTATTTCAACACACATATTGATACAAAGAGGCACCAACTATATATGCGCCACACAAACCTCATTCGATATGTGTGAGGGCTGTGATACTGTTCGGGTGCCCAAACCGAAGCAGGTAGTCTTCTTAGGGGGCCACACCTGAATGTCTGATCCATAAGGCAGTGGAGCATCGTGAGGAGATGCAGTCCCATGGAAGCCGGTGACCAACAATTGGTTCATACGACATTAGTTCCTTTAGGATACTGGGGCCCATGTGCACCATTGGTTTGGAATCCGGTTAAAGCGCCGTACATACGCTTTTCGTCCTCTCATTTTCGTAAACAACACCTCCTTCGAGAAGGCAGTGAGTAGGACTTCCCTCGCAGAGGCTATGTGATAGCATTTCGAGAGGGAGAGCGGACTCTCCCTACTCTCGGCCATACCAGGGCATTTGGTATGTAGTATAATTTAGGGGTTTCTTTGGGGCTGTATAAGACTATAATTAATAGGTCCTACATTATGGCAGTAAAACATGGTTGGTAAGAGTAAAGGATATTCGTAGGTTACTAGTATCTGATCATAGATGTCATCGAAACATTGCTCGTATATTCTGGGACCAGCGAGTAAGCAACTCAGTTGTTAGGAAACGGGTACTAGGTAAGGATGGCAAATCAGTTGATGAAGTAGTGAAACTTCATCATTTGAGATGACTGGGACACGTATCATGTATGCCCAACGACCGATTTCCTCGACGTGCGATGTTTTCTGGTTTAGGAGTAGGTTGGAAGAAAGCTAGGGGCGGCCAGAACAAAACATGGCACAAGTCCATGAAGTCACTGACAAGTGGACTGAGACATGTTGGTAGGTGTAGACTACCTGGTTGGGGACCGCGAAATGATGGCAGCCGATGGTTAGAGACCCCGAATAACATGGCTGAAAATCGTTTGCTTTGACGCAGGTGCATACACTCTTTGTGTTCTCTCAAATTCTAACCTCCTGATTCCTCCTTGTCTCTTTTTTTCTCTTCCCAAATTTATTTCACTGGATTATACTTTTTGAATAACATATTCAAACCCTAACGTTCCCGATTACTGATTATACTCTTACTACCTCTACCATTATAGGATTTGAGTCGAAAACTGCATCTCTATGCTAATGTGGTATGGCAACTCGAACTGATGTACGTATGTACGAAGTTCTACGTTGTTACTGAATGGCTGATAATTAATAGGTGCTTAGTTGAAGGTAAAAGATAATAAGCATGGGACCTAGTTTTTGTGTTGAATAATACACGTTAGCAAGGTATAACTCTAAGCATACCTCTTGTGCCACAGCCAGAGATGTTGGTTTGAATCTTGGTGGAAAGGAAGATCATCTACCTTAAAACAACGGATATGTCTTGATGACGAGTGTTAACTAACATAAAACCTTGGTTCGAAGTTTCTTATCGACTGCCACTAATCACCTGTTTCCTAAATATATCGTAAGCTACATACTGTTTCTGTGTTTGGATTTACCTATGGATCTCGGTTAATATATAGTATCAGACAAACTTCATATTGTTAACTAGTCAGGGATCAAATAGAGTACAATATCATTGATTTGAAAAAAGCTTTTGTTAGGAATTAATATCAGCTGAAAACACAAGAAAACTAGATAGCTGGTTTGTCTCAGTTTGGAATCTTCAGGTGGGGCTCCGAAACAACTCTACAAATGATGGAACTCAAAAAATTGGATTTTCGCTCATTTCATACAGTTTTCAGTTTATATTAGTGAGTCTAGTGAACTTACCCTCGAGATTTATAAATTTCAATGAAATCGTCAAGTAAACCTGGAATATGGACAGTAGTTTAATTTTTTTGATGTCAGTTACTTGAAAGTAGTTGGTAGAAAACCGTCAATTTATGTTTCATGCTACTTGATTCTAGTCAGCAAGATGTATCTGAAATTCTTCAAGGGACTTACGCTCCGGAAGCTGCTACTCGATCATTTATATTGACTAAGCAACCATATATTTGGTGAACATCTCATCCCTACCGAAAATTAGTCAGGGTCTGAATCATTTAGCGACACCATCTCAGACCGTAAACCTGGGTGCCCGGGATTCGAATTCCAGTGTCAGCTAAAGGTAGTGAATTTATTAAGACATGGCTCAGAATTGATCACAATGGAGTCGGTATATAGACTCTTTGTCCTCCCTTAAACCGTTAGATTAAAATTAATTTAGATCTTTATTTCTATGAATTAATTCTTTCTTCATGTATTATATCCTTATACACAATCTTTCTTTTATATATTACTACCATTGAAGTAACTACTTCTATGAATTTAGTGTTTATCTTATTGTGCTAATGTGGTGTGGCAACTTGGACCAATGCATATATGTGCCTGGTCCTACATTGTAACTGACTAACTGATTATTAGGACATTTATTTATCATGAAATTCAAAAGTATCATAAGTTTATATATCTCAATTCTCAAGAGAATCAATGGTTACCATTCCCATCGAAAGTATACAAACCATTGTGAATTTAATCATTATACGTATTGATTAAAAGTAAATCATGTATAGATAGACACTAAAACGTTTAGATTTACAAGTTTCTATCAACTATCTTTAATCATGAGTTAATTGAAGCTAAACAACCATGGAAAACCGCGAAGCAATCGACATTAACACAACTGAATACCGGCCGTCTCGGTGGTCTAGAGGTGAGCGATCGCGTGCAAAACCGATAGGTCCTGGGTTCGAATCTCAAGAGGCGGGATCATGGATGCGTACTGCTGAGGAGTCTCACAATAGGATGATACAACTGTCTGTCCAATGCTTCCAGGTTTCCCATGGTGATCTAGCTTCAATTGACTCATGGATTCCACTATTAAATCTTAATAAATATTGTTCTATGATCTCTTGTTAATTGTGTTCAACCACTGAACACTAAAATGGAACTTGATAACTAATCATTTAACTAAATAGTTAAACTACAGACATGATCAATACATAGAATTTAATCAATAAAAAATCATTCAACCACTCTATACGATATCATCTTTTTTTCTGGTTAACGTATTTTTAGCGAGTTAGTTTTCCACGGGATGGGGTCACTAACCCCATGCCTAACCCTCTTCCTTTATCTGGGCTTGGAACTGATAATAACCCCAGATGGGGTCCAGGTGGAGTTATATCATCTATTTACTAGCCAATAACTAACTATGATATCCCTAATAACAATCATTAATCTTTTTATTACTTTTAATTATTATTTCTTTATTTAAAGGATTTGATGAACATATTATAAATACAAAAGAATTATTGTCAAATATATTAAAAATGGAAGATGAATTACATAGACGTTTAACTGATTTAGCAACAAATGTTAATGATTTACATGATCAAGCTAAAAAAGAATTATTAACTGCACAATATTTACGTAATCAAACTAATGAAATTGAGAAAATTCTTAATGGAATTGAAAAAAGAGTAAGTTTATTTTGTGTATATTTTAAGTTGATCTATCTATATCTATATATGACTGATATATTGTCTTGTCCCTTAATACTGATTGAATTCCATAGGTTAAGTTGAAATGTAGTATCTGATTTATTAAATGATTCGATATCGTATGTATTATGTTTTGTCTATGCAAAATACGTTGAATCTGTTGGCTAGACATTATTAGAAACAACCTACTATGAGAAAGAACTAACCAGATTCCAGTGGAGAAAAAAATCAGGAAGAAGCACTAGAAGTGGATAGGACATACATTGAGGAAAGTATTTGGAATCCTCAAGGCTAAAGGAGAAGAGAAAGACCAAAAAACATATTACGTCAAAGAAAGGAGACAGACCTGAGAAAAATGAACAAAAATTGGATAGAACTAAAAAAGAAGGCAGAGGACAGAGTAGGTCAGAGGGTGCTGATCAGCGGCCTATACTTTATTGGGAATAACAAGCTTAAGTTAGTATCTTTTGATGTAAGATGGTTGAAGCCAGTAAAAAGAAACTCTTACTTGACATATGTCTCGTACTAGCTGACACTCGTCAGTAGATATACCTATACTTTAGAGGAAACGAGTTCTAATCCTGAGATTCTAATCGACGCCACCCAGTTTTACAGTCTGGGACATTACCACCAATGAATAGAAGCTGCGACTGACATTCTGTAAAACTGAAATGTTTACATCCATTGACCATTATGTATTGATTAATACATTTTTGTCTAGTCCTTAGTGGTGATTGAATTCAGTCAATCAATTAAGTTATCCTGAATATATATATATATATATATATATATATATATATATATATATATATATATATAATTTGGTTTTTTAACTTTGTTTTATCATCATGAGTCAATTGAATCTAGACCACGATGGAAATCCTGGAAGCATTAGACGGTCCTTTCGTTCTATTGCGGGACTCCTCAGCAGTGCGCATCCACGACCTCTCCCCCTGAGAGATTTGAACCCAGAACCTACTGATTTCATGTGCGAGCACTTAATCACTAGACCACTAAGCTGACCGGCATTCAACGGTGTTAATGTCTAACTTCAACTAATCCACGAAATTGAGCGATACATTCACCATTGTCTTCAGTGAGTTACTATCTCACAACAGACCTGGTTGAACTCCACTGGTCACTGCTTCCGATATTAAATAATGTTTTTTATCATATTAAAAATCTTATATATAATGAGATTTCATTCTCTATATTGTATGATAAAATCATGAAGTTACATAATCTTTATGTTTAGAAGCATAATGATGCATTACAAATGTAACTCTATTAAATTATCTTTCTAAATTAGAAATCTTTATTATCTTATCTGAATAGAAAGTTAGACTATTTCCTTTTAAGATTTGATCTTGACTAGAAATTTTAATTCATTTTAACTTGTTCCTATGGTTTACTAATTAAGATAAGTTAATCTTGTAAATCTTGTAAATGATTCTATAAATGATGTTATTTAAGAAGAAAAAAAGGCTATATAGAGAGGCCTGATAGAAAAAAACTTGTACCATAACAAAATCCAATTAATTTACTCAAAGATGCATAATGGCTAACAGTGGAATTCAGGACGCGCATTTCTTCCTATTTTGGACTCGTCATCTGGATGTACCTGGATCGCAGAGTTGATGTTCACTCCGGGACTCGAATCCAGTACCATTCGCTTCAAACACTATCTCTGCTTAAAAAGCTTGTAACTTAAGGCTATATCGAGGCGATCCGCACAGGATTCACATATGCCAACATGAGACTGATCAATTACAGTCCTAAATAATAATGGGACAATACAAGTAAAACAACACTAAGTGAATTTAATAATGTTATTTGTTGATCTTTTGAAGTGTTTTCAAGTATGAACTATGTAGAACTGAAAAAATACAATAGTTCTGTACAATGTAATGTAATCACAGAACTAATTACTTTTCCTAGGTTCTTAATTGATTACACAATGAAAGTCTACACATAATAAAAATGTTCAAATAAAACAGTTTATTAAATTAGAAGGGGTTTTGTGGATATTATAGTAATTTTAATTGTTGAGATCATGAGTCAATTAGAGCTAGATCATCATGAAAAACCTGGTAGCACTGGATAGCCGGTCGTTTGGTCCAAGTATGGGACTCCTCAGTAGTGCGCATCCACGATTCCGCCTCACAAGACTCGAACCCAGGACCTATCGGTTTCGCGCACGAACGCTTAAGCACTAGACCACTGAGCCGCGCGGCATCCTACGGTGTTAATGTCTAACTTCAACTAATCCACGAAATCGAGTGACACATCCACCATTGTCTTCAGTAAGTTACAATTTCACAGTAGACCTGGTTGAAGTTCATTGGTCACTGCTTCTCACTAGAACTGCAGGAAATACCTCTTGAAGCCAGTCACTAGTGAGCATATGTTGATAAATATCAGATGGGTTTTTTTGGATATTATGGTGACTTCAATAGTTGAGATCATGAGTCAACTGAAGCTAGATCACAATAGAAAATGTGGAAGCACCGGACAACTGTTTCGTCCTATTGTGGGACACCTCAACAGTACTCATCCACGATCCCACCTCGCGAGATTCGAACATAGGTGGCGATATGATACTACTGACAACGAGAAAATAAATTTTATGTGTAAGTTAGTTATAGTTAGTATGAGTTTCAATTTGGAAAGCATAGTAGAATGGATGGCCAGTATTTATCCTGGAAATATTGTGAACTCTTAGTTGGCCCAATTTTCATTTAAATCTATAGCTAGATGGAAATTCAATCAAGTATTAAAGTAGGGGAGTTCCAGTGATTGGCAATTAGCTAGGAAAATGAAAATATACTTAATCTTTAATGCTGAATAACCTTTAAAATCTTTTAACTTATCAAATATTTCTGCTAAATTTGCTTCACAACATACAACTATTTTTATAACTTAGATTTTACAATAATAAAATAAGAATGAATAATTTATTTATTATTTATTTAAGCTCATAAACGCTGGTACAAGGAGGCACCAAATACATATGCTCCACATAAATCAGTCGACTTATGTAAGGGCTCGGATACTGCCCATGTGTCCAAACCGAAGTAGATGGTTTTCTTAGGGAGCTACACCACGAGCCTTCGACCTAAAGGTCTGATTCACAAAGCAGTGGCGCAACGTAAGGAGATGCAGTCCCATGGTAGCTGGTGACCAACAGTAGATTCATACGCCATTTGTTTCTTTAGGTTTCCGGGGCTCATATACAACATTGGTTTGAATTCAGGGTTTGCCAACTCTCCTAGGTGAATCATCCATATCCACCAACCCGGTTAAAGCGCCGGTCATTCGCTTTTCGTCCTCTCAATTCGGTAAACAACAGTAATGCCACGAGAAGGCAATTAGTAGGACTTCCATGGCAGTGGTTGTATGCACTTGACCATGGGAGAGCATTTCAAGAGAGAGAGAGAGCTGATTCTCTCCACCCTCGGCCGTACCATGGCATTTGGAGGCCACAATAATGAAATAAGAATGAATAATTATTTTCATTGATGAAGAAATGTGTTCATCTTGTATTACAAGATTTATTAAAATCAGTTGCAAAATACACTAATTAGTCAATTCAAAGTATCTGATGTTACTTCTTGCAAATTATTTCATAAAAGCCGACTGAACTTCATCAATCAATCTTACATCATTGAACATTATATTAAGAGTCCAATAATTTGACAAAATATTGCTTAATCAAATCAAATGAATACCAAATAATCTGAATATTGATTTAGTCACTTAACGGGTAGTTGTCAAAGGCTTTATTGTTTATTTGTTTTGTAAGCTCTCTTAATTCGGCTTTACAAAAAAAAACGCATAGTATGCACGATATTGAAAAGTCTAAGATATTTTTTGATGAGCTAGTGAATTCTCCTAGGTCCACACTGGTCTTCATCGGATATCACTTTATCTTTGAATAAAGCAATATGATATAAAGTCTTTAGAAATTAAAAACGTTTTCCTCTATTTAGAAACTCAATGATCAATCTTCTTCTAATAAGATATTTTTTGACTTTCTGAGCTAAATGACTATTCTTGTACAGAAAACGAATTCTCCCTTGTTGTTTTCTCACTCTTAATAAAACTGGATTTAATAGTTGAATTCATAAGTCCATCTAAGCTAGACCATCATTGAAAACCTGGAAGCAATGAACAACTGTTTGGTTCTGGTATGCTAATCCTTAACAGTGACCGTTGGATTTCAATCCGTGTCGCGTGAGAACAGTTATTCAAATCAAACAATAAATCAAGGGTTAGACATTAACACAGTTGGATACCGTCTCATTCGCTCGCGAGGCTGAGGGTCTTAGGTTCGAATCCCTATTACAGGGTCGTGGATAGGCACTGCTAGGATGACATAGTCATTCAATGATTCCAGATTTTCAGTGAGAGTTTAGCTTACATTGACTCATGAATTCAACGATTAAAATTACTACAATCTTCTCATTCTGTGATAAAACTGGATTTATAAACATTTAATCCAAGAGACTACCATTCATTTTTACAAACATAATTAGGCATATGATCAATGGCCTACATTTGGATTCCTAGACATTTAATGAATCAGACAATAAGTTCTTATTGTTAAAATTATTTTTACAAATATTGCTAATATACATTCATATATACATTCGTCTAAGATTGAGTTCAATGGACTTAAATGCATATAAACATACAAACACCCACCAACACACACACACACACAGAGAGAACTGTTCACATATATAGATGGAATGAGACAGAAAAAACTAGGTCAGTAGTTTAATTGATTCGTTAAATTGGTGTTGATGTTTTGCTTAGAAATTATTATTATTAGTAGTATTAGTAGTAGTAGTAGTGGTGGTGGTGGTGTTGGTGGTGGTACAATCTAGTTAAATAACGACACTGCCACTGAAGTTAATTTTAAAAATATGAACTGAATAAAATATTTCTTTTTTATAAAAAGAAATGAAAAGAGGTAAAATGGATTATTCAACAGCTGCAATAAGAAAATATACACAATTGTTCTTTTTGTTGTTGTTGTCGTTGTTGCTAGTACAAAACTATTCTGTATCATGTAACCGGGTCACTTATGACAGAAAAAAAAAAGAAAAAAACCCTTCCCCCCTATGTCTATTTTATATAATAAATGAATAAAAGTTATTTCTTATATGATATGTTCATTTAAAAATTGATTAGTTAATTTAAAAGTCAGATAAAAATTGTAAAAATAAAAAAAAAATTTTTTTCCATAAAATTCTAGTTACTGTTCAAAAAAAATTTTTTTTAGTTTTTTGGAAATAAGTATTTTATCAGAAAAAGGGGTTTTATGAAGAGTTAAGTCATTTTATTAGTTGAATTTATAAGTCAATTGAAGTTAGATTATCATGGAAAACCTCAGTCAGTCAGTCAGTCAGTCAGTCAGTCAGTAACAACGTAGAACTTCCTACATACGTGCATGAGTTCGAGTTGCTACACCACATTAGTACGGAGGTACAATCGTCGATTCAAATTCCGTAGTGGTAAAGGTAGTAAAAGTATAAGCAGTAATCGGGAAGATTAGGGTTTGAAGATGTTATTCAAAGAGTATAATCCAGTGAAATAAATTTGGGAAGAGGAAAAAGAGACAAGGAGGAATCAGGAGATTAGGACTTGGAAAAACACAGAGTGTATGAACCTGCGCCATTGAAAACGATTTCAAGCCATGTCATTCAAGGTCTCTAACCATCGGTTGCTATCATCTCGCGGTCCCCAACCAGGTAGTCTACACCTACCAAGATGGCTCAGTCCTTTTGTCAGTGACTTCATGAACTTGTGCCATGTTTTGTTCTGGCCGCCCCTAGCTTTCTTCCATGGAAAACCTGGAAGTATTTTATTGTTGTTTCATCCTAGTATGAGATTCTTCAGCAGTACGTAGCTATGATCCTGCTCCCGTGAGATTCGTGGATTGATGGAATTTAGACATTAACATTGTTGGATGCCAGTTGGCTCAACGGTCTAGAGGTTAAGTGTTCACGCATGAGACTGATAGGTTTTGAGTATGAATCTCACGAGGAGAGGAGACTCATATTAGGACGAAACGGTTATTCACTGCTTCCAGATAAGTATTCGTAAGTTTTGGTAGTGTATCTGTTTTTCAATATTTAATATGTGTGTAGAGTATCAAGGATTGCTATTTTAAAGGGGGGGGCATTTTCTCGTTCGTTTAGCAGGTGAATGATGCGTATAAGAATATAATGTTGATTTTGAAATTCGTTTTAATGTCAAAGTCCCAATTTATTGATTGTTTTTCATACAGCAAGTTGGAAATCTTTACATATAACGAGTTTATAGAAAACATTTGTAGATAGTTTTAAATGATTGAAGTAAAATCTACAGTGAAAATTATGTTCTTATATGTAGCACTAACCTGAGAAATAGACGAAAAAATGGTCGGAAACGCTAGATATTTAGCTTTTACTGAACACTCGAAGATGAGTATCATTATATCTTTACATTAATTATCTTATATTTACAGTTGAGTTAACGAGTTTATCTGAGCTAGTCCATCATTGAAAACCTGGAAGGATTGGATATTCTATAAGAAAGTTTAACATTAAATTACTTACGCCTGTTACCCAGAGTGGAGGAGTATTCTCCATCAAACTCTGTCCTCAACAATCATTTCCAGTTGTTTCAAGTTGTTATTCATCCCTGCTTAATTCTCTTCCACAGTAGACTGTTGCTAACAGTTTCCGGTCAACAGATATTAGGTATACTGAGTAGACAATTGAGTTCAACAGAACCACTCCCGAATCTACCCTTTTCTGTCCAGACATCCCAAGTACCTATACTAATTTTTGCTCTGATCAGCCTCATCATCTACAAAGAATCTCGGCTTTCACCGTGAGGCGTGATAATCTCTCTGAATGAAGACTGTTCAACTTAGAGGACAAATTTTAAATAGTTTATATTGTTTATTATGGTTAGCATATTTTAGCAAGGTTGTTTTCTACAGAATAGGGTTGATGACCACATACCCAACCCTCTTCCTTTACTAAGACGTGGGACCAGGAGTAACCCCTTGAAGAACTACAGGTGGAGTTATAAATTTTACGTATTATATATATATATATATTGAAAATCTTACAAATATATTATGATCATTTCAAAACTTGTAGGCTATCGATCATAAGTCGATGTAACTTTGTAAGTAAATAGTTTCGAGTAGTATCAAAATAGATTGAAACAATAATCTTATGTTTCTTGATTTTCAGTAACCTTCAATCTTATTTCAAAATTATTTATTAGATATTCTTCATACTGAATAATTAATCTTAACAGCCTATTCTTACTTACTTACTTATTTACGCTTATTACTCCCAATGGAACATAGGCTGTCAACAAGCATTCTCCAACGCAAATTGTCCTGGGCCTTCCTTTTTAGATCCATCCAATTGTTGTCCATTCTTTCCATGTCTATCTGCATTCCTCGGCGTAATGTGATCTTTGGTCTTTCTTTTCTCCTTCGGTCTTGAGAATTCCAAATGAGGACTTGCTTTGTGACGCAGTTCGATACTTTCCTCAATGTATGTCCTATCCACTTCTAGTGCTTCTTCCTGATTTCTTTCTCCAATGGAATCTGGTTAGTTCTTTCTCACAGTAGGTTGTTTACAATAGTGTCTGGCCAACAGATCCAAAGTATTGTGGGTAGACAGCTGTTAATAAACAATTGTATCTTCTGGATGATGGCATTTTACAGCCTATTCAGCTTAAACTTATTTCATACTATTATATATATATGTGTATAGATTCTAATTCAATATTTCAAAAGATTATTTAATTGTCATATATCAATCTTTATTTATTTATTTTAACACATAGATATTGGTACAAGGAGACACCAAACACATATGCGCAACACAAATCTCATTTGATATGTGTGGGGGCTGGGATACTGTCCGGGTACCCAAGCCGATGCAGGTGGTTTTCTTAGGGGGCCACACCTGGAGCCTTCGATTTGAAGGCCTAATCCACAAAGGAGTAGAGCAACGTAAGGAGATGTAGTCCCGTGGTAGCCAGTGACCAACGATTGGTTCACACACTATTTTTTCCTTCAGTATACTGGAGCCTGTGTGCATCATTGGTTTGAAATGAGGGTTTTTCATCTCCTCCAAGTGAACTCTCCATGTCCATCAATCCGGTTAAAGCGCCGGACATTCGCTTTTCGTCCTCTCAATTTCGTAAACAATAGTGATGCCAATGAGTAGGACTTCCCTGGCAGAGGCTATATACGCGTGGCCAGGTAAGAGCATTTCAAGAGGGAGAGCTGATTCTCCCTACTCTCGGCCGTACCAGGGCATTCGGGGGGCATATCAATCTTTAGCATGAATTGGTATTCAATCTTGTATGAGAACAAGGTGGAAATATATCTGAATTATATTTCGTTATCCTCATTGATTAGTGTGAACATCTAAAAAATAATACACTTTATGATTGATTCGTACTCGTATTCAAGTTTATTCTGTATAACTAACTACTTCGCAAAATTCAATTATCTAAAACAATGTGCCAGTCAAATGACATTTTCGTTATTCTGAGGTTTAAATCCCTTTACAATTTTACGAAATATTTAAAATGAAGCAAAAATGGTTGGTGACTAACACTGGAATCCAGAATGCGCGTTTCTTCCTATATGGGACCCGGCAGTTGGGTGTACCTTCATCTCAGAGTTTATATTCGTTTCGAAACTCGAACCCAGTACCATTCACTTTAAATATCATCGAGCTATTCAATTAGCTACTGAGTTCAGATAGCTATTAGCTTGTGCAATGGGTTGAATTTTTAATTTACTTTGTATCGTCTGCTAGTATCTTCAGATTGATGTTTAAGACTGGAATTGATCAATCTGTTGTTGGCATATGTGCATCTTATGCGGATTGCCCCGATATAGCCTTAAGTCACAAGCTTTATAAGCAAGTGACGCGGGTTTCATTCTATTTGAAACTCATTAACAAGATGCACTTGCATTCCAGAGTTATTGTTCACTACTGTGACTCGTCTTAGATTCCACTACTAGCCACTATCCATCGTTGCTTATAATGCTTGTGGGTTAAGGTAATATTAAGGCAGTCCACAGAGGATGCACATATACCGATGAGAGGTTGATAAACTGCACTTCTAAACATCAATGGAAAGATTCAAATAATTTTGATAGAGTCTTGTTCTCTGAGCTGGATGGTTTGGTCATGGAGCTTTCATCGTTCTTCTGAACCACATCATCAGTACAAACTTTAGATAGAAGTGAAGCATTCGAATTTCTCTACATATGGTTTACAGATTGTCCTATACACCTCGATGTTGATTAGTTCTTGTTGACCTTAAACCTGTCATTGTTTACTTCTTTATTATGGTTTTATCTCCCATTGGGAGAACAATACTTCATCAAAATCATCCATCTAAACTACAATTCTTCATCATCTCAATATATTACATCATTTTATTAATTAATTTTCTTTTCAGATTACAAATGATAAATTTCTTCTTGATAAATTCTATGAAAAATTAACTGATTTAAAAACACAACATGAATTACAAATTTTACCTGAAATACAAAAAGCATCACAAACAGTAAATGAAATTAATGATGAAACTATGCGTATTATTGAAATAGCTGATATATCACATCGTAGTGGAAGTAAATTAGTTGAAGATATTAATGAATTATTAAGACGTATGAAAAAACTTAAAGAACAATTAAGTAAGTCAGTGACAGTAAATTTTTTTTGTTGTTTTTGAATCGATTTGTAAATGTTTGTATTACAGATTGACTTTATATAAATTAGTTTTGATAATCAAGAAACTCTGGAAAGTTATAGACACATTATGAAGCTCCTTACTACTGTGTATTAGTGATCCAACTCAAGATCTTCATATTTGTATAATGGAGCTTAAGTTTTATACTGCTGAGTTGATATTGAATTGGTTACCGGTTTAATTATTTCATATATATATATATATATATATATATATATATATATACAACATGGAAAACACCAATTCAATCACACTTGATGGGGGAACTTTGAAGATGTGAAATCTTTCACGTACCTGAACAGTAGCAGCATCGATGAACAATGAGGATCCATTAAAGACGAAAAGGCAAGGATTTGAACTGAAAAACATATACAACTTAAAACAACTGTCTATCAACCAACATCAAAATCATAATCTTCAAAACGAATGTCGAGACGGTGAGTTCTACTATACATAGCTTGAACGTGGAGAACTACCACGACCATTATGAAGAAAGTAAAAGTATTTATAAACAATTTTCCACTTAAGATATTCAATGTACATTGACTGGAAATCGTTAGCAACAGTCTATTGTGTTGATATCTAACCTCAATCAATTCATCGTATTGAGCGTTCATCTCAGATCATTATTCTGATGCCTGCAAACATTTTAAGAAATTTAATTAGTACCTATCCCTAGTTACTAATTCTTATTTAATTTATATTATTCTACATATTATGTAATTTTTAACATTTTATCATTCATACCCCATATTGTCCACATTTATTCTGATTCTCAATTCTAACATATAAACATATTCAAATTATCATTGGACATTTGTGATCTTAACATTATCGATTATATAGATGATCCTGAACTTACATATTATAATATTTAAACGTTGTATTTCGGTCTTGAGCTTGATCACTATCTGGATTATTCATTTGGATATGTGATAATTGTAGAACTCGAATGAATATCCTTTATTCATATATATATATATATATATATATATATATATATATATATGTTTATTTATGTTATCAAAATCTATTTCATATCCAGTAATGTTTCAATCGCTATACATTCATTAGACTCTACTTATAATGATAGAGATTTGCAGTTTGGGAGTTTACTTTGTCAGTATATATTATGTTCTCTGCTATAAATGGTTAAATTTTGAGTCATTTATTATCGACCTGTACAACATTATTAGCATCTATTTCATATAGAAGTGAACTCTTCAGTTGTTTCACAAGTGTTAAGTTCATTCATTCAAATGATGTACTTTGTGAATAGTTGTCTTTATAGTTTGTGTTGTATTCATTTATTGTAATAGTTATGTCAACTACTGTTTTTTTTCGGTTAACAATGAAAATTCATTGTTACAGATGAACAAATGACATTACATTACTCCATTGAAGTTAAGAGGAGTAGATAAAGCAGTAGGAATTTGTATCGAGATGGGTTTACTAGTGTCTCATAACAAAAAAAAACAACTTGAAAACCTCTTTAGTACCATCTATCTATAAACAAGTTATTTTCTAATTTCAACATGATTTGTACTTGATTCAAAAAGTCTCAAATGCTTTGAATATATTTCTTCCAACTTGTTATCTCTTAATATAATAAGATTCAACATAGAAATCGATACGAATAGTTCACTAGTATAAGGGTTGTGGAGATTATTAAGTTTTTGATTGAGATCATGAACCGATTGATGTTAGACCAACTTTAGAAACCTGGAAGCACTGGACAGCTGACCGTTTCGTTTCACTTTAGGACTCCTCAGCAGTGCTCATCCACGATCCAGCTAGCGGGACTGGAACCCAGGACCCTCAGTCTCGCTCGCGAACGCTTAACCTACTGGGCTACTGAGCCGACATCCAATGGTGATAGTGTCTAACATCAACCAATCCACAAAATTACGCGACCATCTTCCATTTTACTGAGGTAGATACCTGTCTCTATTCACAATAGGACGAAACGGCCATCCAGTGCTTCCAGGTTTCCAAAGGTGGTCTAACATCAATCGGTTCATGATCTCAATGAAAAACGAATAGTTCAGTTCAATCTGAATAGATCCTATCATAACTAATTTTTCCCCTCATTTATTTATGTCAAAAAGGGGTTTTGTGGATATTATAATGATTTCAGTAGTTCAGATCATGCGTCAATTGAAGCTAGATCACTATGGAAAACCTGGGAGGACTTGACAACCTTTACAATCTATTGTGAAACTTATCAACAATGCATATCCACGATCCCTCTCCCCGAGAGATTCGAACCCCAGGACCTATCAATCTTGTGTTCGAGCTCCTATACATACTAATACATTTACATGATTACTAATATTTCATAAATAGTCATTTTATTCTTACCATTCTCATATATTCACTTCTTTTTTTTTAAATTTTAATTTATAGCAGAAAGTACTAAACCTGGTATTAGTTTAATTAGTAAACCAATAATCACTTCAGAAGATGCTACAATAAGATTTATTAAATTAAAAGATGATTTTAATAAAATTCAATTAAATCAACGTTTAATTTTATTAAAACAATTAAATTATTCACGTACTATTGAATTATTTTATTTAAATAAACAAATTAATGAATTTAAATTACATTATGAACATTTACAACGTATTAATTCATTATTACCAAGTATTGAATCTGGTTGCTTTTATATTGGTAAAGGTATTGAAGGTGATCAATATGAACGTAGAAATTCTTAAATAGAATTTATATAAACAAAAATTATACAACAATTATACCATTTTTTATTATTTCTATTCGAATATACTTTTTTTTTTCTTCTTTTGTTATTGTTGCTAATGTTGTTGTTGATTAATATTCACTTTATTCTCTTGTTTTACATGGTAACATATTAATTTATATCATAAATGTTATGTGTATAGGTGTGGCTATGTGTGCGTGTATGTGTGAGTGTGTATGTGTATGTGTGTGTGTGTGGGTATTCTTTTCTTTCTCTTCTATCTTGGATTATTTGCTCAATATTTTTTGTTTGTTTATTTCGATCCGTTTATGCCATAGTTTCTATTTCATGGGAATTATGTTCATAAATATAAATTTGGTTTTTTTCTTTTTTTGCAAAAAACAAAGTTTATTTCATATTTTTATTCTTTTTTTTAGTTTTTTTTTTGGAAAAAAAGTAAAATCAATTTCATCTTTATGCCTTAACGATTTTGTCTATTTTTTTTGTTTGTTTTTTCCTCTTCTTATTTTTTATTCATTAAAATAGTTTCGATTATTAATTAAAAGAAAAAAAAAGAAAAAAAGAAAAAGAGAAGAGAAACAACTTTATTTTCCATCGTTTTTATCATTATCGATTAGGAATAATAAACAAAACAACAACAAAAACGGTTTTTCATTCAATTAAATTTCTCATTCGATTTTTTCTCTCTTTTTTTTCTCTTGTTTAAAAACAAAAAAGAATAATCAATAAGTTTCATTTATTATGATGAATATCAATTCAATATTTAATGGGTATATTTTCCCTTTTACATAGAACAAACAAAATACACAAACATATGCCAACTGATTTACTCTTGTTTATGTATAATTGAATATTCATACAATATATAATATACAAGTTATAAAGGTATATAGATCTTTATATGTATCAGCTGATTGTGACCATGTTTATTATCTTACATTATCTTATTATTCAATTACATTTAAATCAATCATTTCAGAATAGGTACTATTATGTAATGAAAAGAACATTATTAAGAATGCATAGTGTATACTTGGTTAATTTTACCATCATTGTCAATTAAATAGGATCTTAAATGATTTTGCCAATCTGTGTTTTGTTGTTGTTGTTGTTCTATTCTATCACTTTTATTCATTACAACAGCTTTCTATTGAATAATCTTTTTTACTAGTCATAAACAAACTACTTATTACTACTATTTATACTACTAGTAAAAATTATTTTTATTCATTAAAGAATTATGTCTGAATATATATATATATATATATATATATATATATATATATATATATATATATATATATATATATATATACATGTGTGTGTGCCTGTATGTGAATGTGTCATGAAATGTAATAATTGTAAACTCAATACTACTGATGATGAATTATTATTTCAGTAGAATTCTGTGTATTTCATTTTGATCATCATGTGTTAGAACGAATTGATGAAATCGAAAAAGAAAAAAAACGATTTATCATGAATGAGATAGAAATGGTTGTTCTATTTTGATGAATGATACAATTGTTCTGTTTTTTTTATGTTTTTTTTTAATATTCAATATTCAATTGTGTGAATATTAAAACTTGATTTATTTATAAACCGGTACATTGACTACTGTTAACTCTTTTATCAATACTATGCGTATTAATACTTAAATACAACTGTTGTCATGGTAATTGTATTAGTATTGAATATAATAATAATAATAATAATAATAATAATAATAATAATAATAGTAATCTTTTCCTTTGTTTGAAAAAATTACGAGTTCACCTCATCTGAGAATGGTACGAAGATTCTGTGACACAATGATAGATAGGTTAGCTATTCGAACGTGTCTCAGCTTCGTTAACTAGAGATAGAAATGCACATTCAAATAAGGAAATATATTCCATTAAAAGCCAGAGGTACAAACAACAACAATAACAATAAGCACAAATCAAGCGTATATATACAATATAACAATGTCCTTTGAAAGCATTATAAAATAGCATACTAAAAGATACAACGAACCGATAGGATTTAAGATCCTCTCAAGTTGGAAATAAGCGGTAAAAACAAGAAATTCAAATTTTTAGTGTAGAATTACAAAAATAAGGTATTTACCAAGTGAGCTCGAGGGATCTAACATTCCCCAAAATCTTCATTGCCCTATTCTCACATATTGTTCTCTTTGAGTTTTCTACAAAGTATCTTCAAGAAAACTCAGCTTTTAAATTTATATTTCTGGAATCATCCATTATTTATATGTCATTAAGCGTTCTGACGAGACATTGAAAAATGGTATCATGAATGGAATGCAAGTTTATTCAGTATATTATTTAATTTATTTTAAAACATAGATATTAGTACAAGGAGGCACCAAATACATATGCGCCATACAAATCTCATTTGATATGTGTGAGAACTGTGATACTGCCCGAAGTAGGTGGTTTTCTTAGAAGGCCACACCCAGAGCCTTCGACCTGAAGGTCTGATCTACAAGGTAATGGAGCATCGTAAGGAGGTGCAGTCCCATGGTAGCCAGTGACCAATAAGTGGTTCATACACCATTTATTTCTTTAGGATCCCGGAGCTGATGTACAACATTGGTTTGGATTGAGGATTTTCCAACTCTCCTAAATGGACTCTCCGTGTCCACCAACCCGGTTAAAGCGCCGGACATTCGCTTTTCGTCCTCTCAATTTCGTAAAAAACAGTAATGCCACGAGAAGGCAGTTAGTAGGACTTCCCTGGCAGAGGACTTATTCAGAATATCAAAATACGGTAAATCAAATCATTACAGTAACATATACAATAAAATTCACATGATCTTGTTTGGTTATAATTTCTCATTGTTGTTTAGAACTACAATAGATCACTCTCTTGTTGGCATATATGCATCCTGTGCGGACCGCCTAAATATTGCCTTACGTCACAAGCTTTATAGACAAAAATAGACAGCGGCTACTAATCGAATACAAAACGTACGTTTCGTTCTATTTCGGACTTGTCAGCTGGATGTAACTGCATCATAGAGTTTATGTCCACTTTGGGACACAAACCCAGTAATGTTATTATTATTATTATTATTATTATTATTATTATTATTAATGGCTTTATTCAATATTATATTTTTGGTACAATATAGAATTCTCAGCACAGGGTATTTCAACAAGTTACTTACTGAAAAAAAAAACGAACAAATAGGCAGTAGCAAATACAAAAAGAAATTTTTTTTAAAAAAAAAAGTTTTTTTTAAATAAATTTTAAAAAAAAAGACCAAAAAAAAACTGTGCAAACTTTTTAAAATTAAAGACATGTTAAGAATGTAAGTTATTGACTAGGTTATTTCTAACAACCTGTTCGTCACATAGTATATTTGCTAGGTAAGGAATTATAGAACTTTTATACTTTTCCTTACGTGCATGGATTTTAATGTAATTACGTCTCGTTCTACCAGAAGATATACAAGGAGAAAGATAAGAGTGAAGGGGATGGCTAGTATCTGATAAAATAACACCTGCCAGGAGTTTGCATGATTTTAAATGTCTATCCACAACCATATTAATTATGGCCTCGAAAGATTCACCACACATCTTGCTAACTGCCTTCAGCACTCTTCGCAATACAGCAAAGTCTTTTCTCAAAAGCCCGGGAAAGAATAATGGAGAACAGTAAAGAATAATAGGTAATATGCAAGAATTGACAAATTGTAAGAGTAAATGACGAGTAATCCCAAGAGCATGCAATCTCTTTATGTAGCAGGTCAGACGGAAAACCTTCTTCGATAACGATAAAACGTGGGAAGACCAAGACAGATCAGAGGAAAAGGTGACACCAAGATAATTGACCTTCGACACTGAGTTTATGAAAGAGTCTCCGATGGCACAAGCATTATGGGATCTCAAAATGGTGTTTATATTCCGTTCATGTTTCATGCTAAAGTTAACAGCTTGACATTTAGACGGATTAAGTATGAGACCATTACCAACAGACCAATAATCAATACGAGACAAAAACTCATTCATTTCTACGGGATGTAAAGAGGAAGATATAGGCATACATACAGTGAGATCATCCGCATACTTCACAAAAGTGTTTTCTGTGGAAGATGGCAGGTCATGCAGAAAAAAAGAGAATAGAAGAGGTGAAAGAACAGCTCCTTGTGGTACACCTTCCTGAGACAGTAGAGACTCCGAACACTTTCCTCCAAACACAGTGTACTGTTCCCTTCCAGAGAGGTAGGAACATAGCCAGTTGGTTATCCAGCTGTCAGTGTTGACGCTGATTAACTTGTTAAGTAAACGTTGTCTTGGTATAGAGTCAAAAGCTGAAGTATAGTCCAGAAAAGCACAACGAACATACTTCTTACCCTTTTCTAAGTTGAACACTGTGTTGTGGTGCAGAACTGCAACAGCATCTAAAGTGCTTCTTTTGCGCCTGTATGCAAACTGGTATGGGTCAGTATGCTCTTTTATCGCAAGCTGAAGTGGAAGTATTAATAATTTTTCCATGGTTTTGAGGAAGGGTGAAGTTATTGCAATAGGTCTAAATTTTACATTCTTATCACCAGATGCTTTCTTGGGTACAGGAATTATCTTCATCTTTCTCCACGTTTTCGGTATGAGATTAGATGAGAAGGATCTGTTAAATATAGTTGTGAACGGATGACACAGAACGTCAGCACATTTTTTAAAAAGGATGTTTGGGATACCATCAGGTCCCAAACATCGAGATGAATTAAGCGATCGGAGACATCCTCGTACATCAGTTTCAGTGAAAGTAGGAACACAGCTATTTTTTAAACCCGTGGATAGAGGGAGCATCACATCAGATGACTGACGAACAAAAGACTTATTTAAGTCACTAACATCCAGCTGGTTATCGCTTCTAAACTGTCTGTCGCCTGTAAGTTCTTTAAAGAGTTTCCACATACTTGGAATGTTTCTGCAAGATAAGAGCTTTTGAGTAAACATGCAGTTGAGACGTCTAATCTCTAGCTTTATCAGACCATTTAGCTTACGAACTTCATTAGAGTTCTTCTCCTTGTACATACTTTCTTTCCTCCTTCGTAGTCGTTTTAGTTGTGTAGATGTAAATCGATCAAAACTTACAAAAATGGTTTCAGTGGGACAGCAAATATCAAAACAGAATTTAAGGTAACAAGTGATAACATCAGTAGTGTTTTCGAGTGAGTCATATGTAAATAATTCCCAGTTTGTCGTATGAAACATGCTTTTCAGATTTCGGATATTTTCTTCTGAGTAATTCCTATATTTGACTTTCTTGGTTTGACGTAAGAGTGTACTCTTCTCATGCTTTCCATATACTTTAGGTAGAACACGAATTATACAGTGATCTGAGCTAGACAATGGAGCACGTTTACGAGTCGCATATATACCCACATCATTAATGAAGACGAAGTCTAGATAAGCATCCAAACGGGTAGGAAAATCCACTACATTTTGGTGACCCAGTGACGTAAGGAAGCTACAGTCACATGAATTGAAGTCACCACATACAACTGAAAGTGAATCACTGAAGGCAGTAAGAGC